ACAGCTGAACACTACTATTTTTGTTGTTATTATTTGACTCCGCATCACAGGTGGGTATAGGAATGTGGAGGAAGACTTGTATCATTATTGACCTAGATCATTATGATAAATGGCGCAAATCTACTTCAAAAGGGTTAGTCCGGCGACACTCATAAACTTACAGCGGTCTTGCTATCGTTGAATGGCTAGATAAACAACCCGCAATCAATCTGCGCCATGACGTCACGTAAGCAAGTCATTTTCAGATAACGAGTGCCCTCGAACCATGATCAAACATACGAACCCTTTGAATTTGTTTAGATTAAATTACATCTGATGTAGGGACAAGCCTCTCTGCGAATTATAGTTCCAACGGATTACGGTAAGCAAGGTGCGGGTAATCATAGTGGACCCCCATGTCGGAAGTCATCCAAACAAACGGACGACCTACCATCGAAATTTAGGTCTTGGCTTGGACACACAAAGGAACTTAACCAGGCCGATCGGTATACCCACCTAACTCGTAACATTTCACCCATCACAGCTGCCTTTCTATGGATGAGTCAGCAAGCAAGCCGCCAGAGACTTGAGCTAAACCGCTTTCAAAGCGATTTTCAACAAAATGGTTAAATTCTTTTGAAACTTTGGTTCAACAGAAGTCATTTTTCATAAGCTTCGAGATTGCGCGCATCTTGACAGTGATAACTGACCCCGACTGATAAAAAATATGGCATGAGAAGCATTTGCCGATAACCTAGAATCAGACGTAGACGGTGGGTGGGATTGGACAGCTGTTGAGCATATCTACAGAAAATGCGCGATTGGAATTTCCTGGATTATGTAGTGGTTCCGAGACATTGGAACACAGCAGTTTGCTTGCACTTGATATCAGTGTGAAAATAGCCACCTCAACTGGACAGGATCAGTCTTGATAGACGAGGAAAAGCTATCGGGCCAGATAAGGATCAAAGGGAGCTGAAACTGTCAACCTATTATGAACGTGAAGTCGGTACGCAAATAATTTAATCATAATTGCTCAGCTATAACACCCTTCCGATGCCTAGCTACTATGCCACCTGAAGGAAACACGAGGGTTTGAATACTGCCAGGTCGCCCAAGACCAGACAGGGAAAGCCGAGAAAGGACCTTCCGGTCAGTAAATTCGTGCTGTAACCACTGAGCCATCTCACCCCCTACATGGGCGATGGAGCACCCACAAAATTAATTCGACCAGATCTTGTGAGATTGTAAGGTAGTTTTAGTTTTAGTGAGATCCAACAGACGGCAGTGGTGCGTGCACCGCCGAAAGACGGATTCTCAAACGAAGAAAAAATTGAATAGGGTGAAATGATCGTTATCCCTCAGTCTAGCACGGATTCTCACATCAAAGCAAGTGTGACTACCAAAAAAATATAGGTTGCGGGACTACATTGACCTCATCTGGTGTGCTCGGTGCTAGGAATAATCACAGGTTACACGGGTGCGGTAAACCAATTCGGCGAAGCTGGATGTAAATTCCGACTGACAGGAATGTTTTCAAAGCAAGTCGGTTATGGATTGTCAGTGCAACGTTTCATTAGAAAGAAAGTTAATCCTGAGGTTCAGTTCTTGCGAGGACTAGAGATTCACATCACCAGTACCCAAGAAACTCCGGACAACGACCACTAGCAAGCTGGTCAGCAGGATATACGTTGACGAGATGGCTCAGTGGCTGGAGCGCGCATTTACCGACCGGAAGTTCCGTTGTTCGAACCCGACTTCTGACTCTCGACTTCCCCTATCTAGGTTTGGGTAACCTGGCAGTATCCCGGCCCTCATGATTCCTTCAGGTGGCATGGCAGTTAGGCACCGAAAGGGTGCTACAGCTGAAGGATACGTTGACAACAGAATGTGAAATGGAGGGCTATTAACATGTGAGGATGACGCCTTAAAGACTGACAGACAAGAACACCTGCATGGTTCAAAGTTTACCTTGGGATCCTAACGGAGGGTCATTGGTTTATTTTAGGTGAAGTAGTGAATAGTTTCTACGGCAGCGAGAAACTGAGAAGTGCTTTGATGTGTGTATTCGAAAACAGTGACATAAACGGGATTAGCGGTTGAATCCAAAAGAACGGCCCCGTATGACAAAAAAGGTGACTGACCTGGCCGAACCCTCTTTAAGTAGATCAGGAATGAGGGAAACCAGTGCGATATACAGGAAACCACCGGATGTGAACGGTAGGATCCATTCAGCCGACCAGCCTGGGAAAGAAAATAAAACAGTGATGCGACAATACATGTTTTCAAACGACCCGACAGTCGAACATCGTACAGTTTATAACTTGATCGGATAAATTTGTAATGTGCTACTCATAAGGTTGCTGAAAATCCGTCGACAGCCCATGACCGGTTGCGCCCTTTTTGGGGCTCATCAGGTAGGCGCAGTCCCCTGGATTCCGTCAACCTTATGTTCTAAGAAATTAGTTTGCAAATGTATATTCGCTAATTGATCGGATAACTTTTTCAGGGACATAATGACCTTTGAAGGGGATCTGTTTCAAAATAAGCGGATTAGTCAGCTAGCCAGCCGCATATGATAAGAGATACTGATGCATTTGCCCATAAGGTGGGGACCTCAAAAGTGTCATTAGCAGCACAATAAAGCTCATTCACCCCAGAATATGTGATAGAAGATGTGAAACAACTCATTCGAAAGCGTTTCCTGCAAGCTTTTCTGTTTGATGCTACGACTGAAGATCATCACTAACAACAATAGTCCAGCGCTCTGTTCACTTGAATTCCGTTGTGCATGGAATGAGGTCCATTCATAACCATTGCGCTTTCTTTGAATTTGCCGGGTGTTCTTCTCTATGTTAGCACACGCCTTTTGAGAGTCAGTTTGAAACATTTTTCCCATGAGTTCTTATTTACTAGAGTATCTCCACAAGGGAGAAGATTCGATATTTAAACCAACCTATGCAAGTAGTGTATAATTATGCATTGTTTTTTCAACCAAATGACCTAAGCAACCCCACTGTCATCTTTGCTATGACCCTACTTACAAGGTTAGTGAAAAGTCTTGCAGAGCTACCTTTTTGGGGGCTCATCGGCTAGGCCTAAAACCCGAACCTCTACCAACCGTAAGTTGCAATTCAACGCTAAATTTCAAAGCAAACTATCATGGAGGCACTCACCTGAAGGCGTGTTATTCAAAGCCAATGCTAGCATAGCACCAAACAGGCATCCAGAAGCTGTTGTTAGCTATGAAGAAAATGGAGAACACATGTTAGTTGAACGCTCCGAATGGAGGACAATCAATTAATGCATACGATATGCCCACTCACATATTGCACACTCATTAGAGTGAATAAAGAATGAAGAACCGGGAGCATGTGTTGACCATACTAGCCTATCGTTGCTTCTACGATTTAAACCGAGTTCATCCAGCCGTATACTGCAAGCATGGCTTGTACATGAATATAGGTGGTCTCGTTGCGGATGGCTATTCCTCGGACGTGGTTCCTCTCAGAGATTCTATTTTCTGCTTGTTAGGTAAGGCTCTCAGGAATGAAAACACTACATTCATATCGTACGTTGTCCTGTTATGAAGGCTACTGGTGCTATTAGTACAGTTTTCACACGAGAAGTTAACTAATACGAAGGAGAACGTTGAATTATGTCCACGTCCAGATGAAAACAGGCAGATCGTCAAATAGTGCTGTAACTTCTGCACGTACTTGTCCTTTTACAGCTTGCCAACGAGTGAATCCACTCCGTAAGAGAATGACAAAATCTCCCATCTCGTGTGGAATCTCGTGAATAAGAATACAGAGAGTGGTCACGAGACCGAGCTATTCGAGGGACAGAAGAACAAAACAACGGGTATCACAAAAACGATCGTGTACACAAGAGAGTACGTGCGACAGTGAAACCATACGTGATTCGGTCGTGCATCAGTGGTCGTGTGCATAACTATTAAAAAATTAAATAATGCATCGTTCCATGCGTACCGGACAGGTTCAGTCATATATTCTCCGACCAGTAACACGTCCACGCGGTCGCTGTTGGCAAACGGACGTTTAAGCCCGATGTGGCGTTTGTTCACGCGCATCATTTCGAGGTCTAAGAAGCGTTGATCTAGGTGAACACATGGATTTTGAATGAAAATTCTGAGTGCATATAGTATGGAAAGACGAAAACCTGGGGCGAGAAATGAACCCAAGACCTACCACTTATAACACGCACTATAGCGGCGAAGGCAATAAGAACACTGCCCAACGTCAACCTTGCGTTTGTAATCCACATACGATTCGTCACATCCATCTTAGAAAATAACGGCTTAGCAGCACCAGCGTCACTAAGGAGCCCCTTGACGGAATCCTACAATGGACAGGATGTTGAAATCGACCTCTGACTAGAGATCGCCTAGTGATTAGGGCGCAGAATTACTAACCGGGAGGACAGTGGTTCAAACCCAGCACCGACCACTTCCGTCTGGGCTGAAGCAACCTAGCAGTGTTCCGGCCCTCGTGCTTCCTTCGGGTAACATTGCAGCAATGCACCGAAGGGGTGTTGTAACAGCTGAACGATTAGTATTAGTTAGCGACATCGACCAGGAGACCAAAAGGAATGGATGTGAATTTACGAAGGAGAATGGATTCTCAAGTGTAAAATCCATGGACAAATATGTCGCTTTTTAACGCGTTTGGGCTACCGTTTCAAATCTTTCAAAATCCACTTCAAAAAACATCAGTTTAGGTACAGATGTGTTCGCATGTTAATGAAATCTTCAAATTGCATTCAAAACTGTTGGGTATAAACCCACCAGACGGTTTTTCACTGATGATTTACGAACAATTATTATGTGCAGATAAACACAATGTCAAATCTAACACAATATACTACTCATAAGATTGTTGAAAGCCCCTCCAAAGCCTAAAGATGTGGACTGTCTACGAGTTTTCAATGGCCTTATGAGTAGTGTGTTGTGTCAACAAGATGTACTGCGATATTATTAACATCATGCCAAATAAAGCAAAAAGTGGTCCCTGCACAACACATGTAGCTGGAGAATAAAATAAACGAGAATTCGTTGAGTCTTTGACATCTTTAACAATCTTTAACGTGCTCGAGAAATGCAACTTTCACTACCCCGGAAACGTAATGAAAAAAGAGACCACCCCGTTTGCGCATTTCGCGTTATCATTGAGGATAGTGACTACACGCACGATAAACGAAAGTGAAAGTGGGAGAGGGCTGCAAGCAACCTCCAAGCATACCTCATAAAACTCATTTGTGCGTTGTGAATCCAGACCGGATCTATGGCTCCAACGGTTCGGTATGATCGCGGACGAATAATGGAGAAACGAGGCAACCTCTCTACCAACATAATGCCTGCAAAACGACTTGGTCATCGCTTATACTTCCTCCTCGTTCCTTTTGTGGTGACAGACTCATATGCATGTCTGGTATCGTTAAAGGTCTAATAGACCAGGAATATAACCGCGGGCTGCTCAAGATACGTACGAAGGAATCAAGTCCGATAACATATATGACTCAGTTATTCGTCGATTTTAAGTGTATGTGTGGATAAACGATGCACCGGGCATCCACGACAACTGACCTCCATAAGAACACGATATGAAATGTACCGATTGCAGTCGCGTACAAACAATAAGCCCGTTTCGACTATTTTTCGCGATGGAGTCCTTAGGCAAATACAAACTAAATGGATATTTCGTTCTGTAAGCAAAGCCACCCTGTGCCGAAAAGCACTGTAAATCTACCCTCACGAAACTCCAGGGAGTTGCGAACCTGAGACCGCCCGGCTAGTATTTTGAGGACTTGATCGTTCGGCAACGGGCGGTTGCACATGGGCAGGACATGCTCCCACTTATCCTTCAATCACGGAATCCACATAACGTGCTCACGTGTTGACTACGTTCCTAATGAAACCCAATGAGACTTCATCAAAATGCTCCACAGGCATTCGTAAAGTCGACTTACGCCATAAAACGAGTACGTTATACAAATAAATTAGACTCAAAGCAGGCATTAGATCACTTACGCGGAACGACACCAAATAACTTCCCCCGATGGCGATCCCGTGAGTAAAATTATCAATGATGTTCGCAAACAGGTTTAGGTATCCGTCCACCTTGGATAGAAGAAATATGGTCCATGTTAGGCATAAAGTTGTTCGACAGTTGTTGACTAACGGAAGCGGAGCATAAGGTTGTTAGGTAAGCACACGGCAAACGAAAGTGCTACGGAGTAAGAGAATTCTGATAACGTTAGAACCGACACAAACCACCACGAAAGCAAAAATACCGAGGAACTTACTGCATTCGGACTGGGAACAGATCGAACAAGGAGTTAGAAACCATGCGTAATTTACGGAGAGTTCAAGCTTTGTGCAGCCATAAACAGAAACACTACCTGTGATTAAACGGAAAAGCATTCCCCTCCCTCAGGATCTCGACCGGACGGAGAGAAGGCTAGTTTTACGTGGTTTTCCGATGAAAATCCGGTATGAGTAGAGCATCACCGCAGTTATACCATTCAGAGATGTTGCATAGCGTGCGAGAGTAGTTCACGGTCATAGTAATAATAACGTCAAAGGCGACGAAAGCGATGGTGGTAAAAGTGACTTGTTGACTCCTGCCCGTCCCCCCCCCGCCACCGTATAGTTTGGCTTAGAACGGACCGATGCATTCAACAGATTGTCAGAAATGATACGGCTAACCCGAAAGTTATCCGAGATCCGAGTCAGTGAACAGTTACAGAAGCGCCGGAATCCGAGGCCCGGTGGGTACGGCAGTGAAGCCAACACTGATGTTGCTGTCTTTGATGATGATGATGGGTTGATATGAACGTTGCTGAACAGCATCCGAATCATGTTCGACAGGTGGCTTTTTTCGTGTCCAAGTAAACAATGTTTGTGGTGCACAAACTTATTGACTAAACGGTAAGGGTGCTGAGACAGCAAGCTTCAATCGTCTGTCCGATGTAGTACATGACTACCAAAGGTAGCCACAACTGTAAGTCTAGTTAACATCCTAGCCGATTGTCGCAGAGCACTACCATCGCTATCTACTCATGATATCCATATACTGAAAGCGCAAAGCGGATGAAAAACTACTCTGGTTGGAGCAATTTTGTTCGCCCCCAAAGAAGTGTCGGCGGACACCCGTGAAACTGTGGGAAGCTTGGCACTCAGCAGACGGCAAGTCTTTTCTGTACGATAAACAAAGGAAAAGATGCTCCTTTTTCATGTGAGACTCAATGGCCGAGAAGGACTTTGTTGGAGAGTAGTCAGTCCTATGTAGCACATATCTTATTGTAGCCAGTTCTCTTTGAAGCGTGTCTGGTTTCCAGACACTTCACTAGGTTCTGCTTTTTTTTTAGTGGCATAAAACTGTGGATACGAACGTGATATATAGATTGATATTTATCGGATGTTTTACCAATCTATTAATGCACCCTTACTTTGTAACCACTAGACTCCCTGAAACTGAGTTGCAATTCCCAAGCTGTATAATTTTCTTATGTGTTTTTTAAAGGAAGCAGTGTTCTAACCGGCAGTAGAGCTGCCGAGTTGTCTGACTGATTCCGAAGGGGGGAAAACAACCAGCTGGAAAACCGGGGTATGCAGTTATGACTCGACCGACAGGCATGACCCAAACAAAACAGCATGAATCAATAGTACATGACGGCTAAGGTCAAACGCCAACATGACTGGTGCAGGTAAGATGCCGCATCGGATGAACACAGAGGTACACAGGCACAAACACAAATGTGCTACACGTCAATCAGTCTAAGTAGCCGCCCCGAAATTGACGGTTTCAACAAGGACTGGCCACTCGGTTTCTTATTGACTGACACGTTCATTGTTATACAGAGACGAAATCAACTACGAACATCAAACGTAGCTGGGATCACTAGTATCGATATGTAGATGGTATTTTTGGCATAGCTAGTTGTGACGCTGACCTATTCACTTTTAATAACAGTCAAATTACTTTGGCGATTAAAAAGAAAGTGTGCAGTCAAATGCAATCTGCAAATACGCTCTCACTGGGCTACTGAATGGCACGCTGGAGCGTAGGATATGCTGCAAACATTAACTTCTACTGTTTTGTGCCGTTGGAACAGAAGCGAAACTTAGTGAATTGTCCGGTGACAAAAGCTCATGAGATTTGCTCTATTAACACGCTACGAAGAGAATGGGTTACAAAAAAAGTGCTAAACAAGACCGGTTACTCGGACCGATTTCTTGAGGGGAATCTCTAACAAAATTCCCCTCAGTCATTTAGCCCTACAGCGGAAAGGTCCTTTACCGTACAAAGAAAACTCAGTAACAAAGTTCTCAGGTAGGTGACTGAACAATGTCATCAGAACCATATTCAACACCACCCGATTACTTTGTTGCTTTACGAGCCGACAGGTGATTAACATAAATAACAGATAAGCTGTCTATATTGACTTCATCCGCGGTTAGTTACTCATTCAGACGTACACGTAATACATCCAACGTCGACCGCACGACGATAGCTTTCATGCCACATAAGGGAGCGCTATCCGAACTGTTTAGTCCAAAACTTTAGGCACGACATGAGTGTCACAGTTGCTCCGCGAGTGAACGAAGGCAACAAGATACATACAAGAAAGGCGCTAAGTGCAATCTACTGGTACGTGCATAATCCCTTCAGAGCTGTGTATATCTGCATCCTGGAGATAGCCGAGGCTACAGAACTCCACCATTTGCAAACAAAGAAGACTAGCTAGAGTACTTCGGATAAATCAGCGTTCCGCGATTGGCAAACATGTGCTCGGATTGTGTGCCAACCGTAACTCGACGACAGAAAACGGAGGTTTTATTGTATGAACCTTGGAGTGAGACCAAGTGAATTTTGTCTATATTACAGTGTGTGTATGTCCACAGAACTCCATATCTAAAGATAGAATATAGTAGGCTAGTTGACGATTATCCGCAAACAACAGTCAGTCTGACTTGTAAAAGGCGAAACTCTATGGTGAAAGCGGATTCACAGGTGCGTCATCATATCAGATCAGGTTTGTCTACAAAAAGAAAGTTTACAAGTTCTCTTGAATTTCTGCATCCATAAATTGGATTATATACGCAAACGCAACAAATGATCTCTGACGCGGACCTGATGAGTTAGACACTAAACATGTGATCCTGACAGAAAGGTTCGTTGTACGTGACTGAATGACTTGACAGGATTTCAGCCACAGGATTTTCGCCATGAAACGGAAGGATGAACCATCTGGATAATTCAAATTGGTTCAAGTTTTCCAACCTGCAGATTTGGATCTCCGTGAACGGCTGAATTTTTGAGGATATCAGGGGAATATACAGTTTGAAACTACAGTGGATGTACAGAAACAACGAGCGAATATGTTAAGAAATTGGTACCGCTTTTATGTTAAGCTATTTAAAACCGGATCTATTGGTGTGTACTGCTGATGAAGCACGCGAGTAGTCTATGGGTTGGTGTACAAGCTGCGCCACCGCATCGGATGGAAGGTGGAGTTTATTAAGGAAATAGTGGAAATGCTTTGCAGCGTTCGTTTACTACTGTGTAATATTCGATGAATATCTAGGAAAGTTCAAGAGGATGCGTAAGAATGTTTAGTTTTCAAAGACCATGTGAATATGTGATGTTTACGTCCCTGCCCAATGAATTGAAACTGCTTAACTCGTGTTGCCTAACAAACGACTTCGCAGCGAATGGTCTCCTTCTTTTCAAGGGTATCTTTATTTACGTGCATTGTGCCCAAAGTCAATTTTCAAGTCTAGTATGCGTGCGCAGGAGAACACCATTCGTCCAGTCATCTTAACTTCAAGTTCATATGTATTTAGATTCCTTTGAGGACATTTCACGTCCTGATCGCCAAGGCGTAGTCGTGATACCACCTTATCTGTCAAGGGTCGCGTTAACAGTGCTGCCGTGCGGCCCATATTACTATACGTGTCAGAAACCTAGTTGCTGCATGCTGAGGACATCAAAAGACTCTCAGTGTTTGGCCATCGAAGACTTCGGATCATTGCCCGAGTCTGATGGGAACACCAGATGGGGAATGTTGAAGCATGTCGAATGGCATTCGGAAGAAATAACGAAACGAGCTAGGGGAGGTCAAACACTGACTTGGCAGCAAAGTATGAAAGCCATCACCAGCAAATTCAGCTGCGCTGGTTATTGCCGTCTCTCTGGACGGGGTCTCCGAGACGGGGCAAATCAGTGGTTAGAGGGGTTATAAGACATGGCTCAGTCGCGACCTCAATTTTGCTCGTGCACCCAGACTATTGCATTCAATGCATAACTTCACAAATAACCTCACAAATGAAAAGTTTACCCACAACTGTGTATTTACGCATCAATTATATCAGCTTCCGCCAGCAATGCGCAGCTACCTACCCCGCTTCCCCAAGTCGTCCGTGAACGAAACTATGGCGGCTATAACTACTGTACGCCAAGTACACGGTTCTTACAGCTGGTGATGATGACGATGATCACCGTTGGATTCACAGAGATATGTAGATCAAAGATCTGCCACATTGGAGACCAAGGTCATTAGTACAGTTGGTTGTGGATATCGAATCCAATCAACGTGTCTCGATTACGGAACTGGAGACTAGGCTACTGCAACCCGTCGCTTGTATCTGCGGTCAATGAAGCCATACGGTACCAGCAAGACCTCTGGTGCGACTTGTGACCAGATCTAGCCAGGAGAAAAGGACTGGAAACTACTCAACTCCATAGGGGCTCGATGGGCTTGCTCACTTTTATAAGTCTGATAGGCCTGATTTCCAGCGGAAGGAAGCGGGTCTAAGCGAAAAAAAAATTTTTAAACTGGAGGCTCTCAGATTGGACGAGCAGATGGCCGACAGATTTCGAGTTTGTAGCAGGGCAGGGAGACGACCAGACATGACGACTAGATCGGTGGATCTATGCATCTAAAGTTGGAATGAAAATGATCGATAAAAACTAGCGCTAATGAAACGAAGAGCCTAAATTTCGACCGTCCGGTTGGTGCTAACGTCGAAATCCAAATGGCTAGGAAAACGCTTGAAAAAAAATTTTCTCCCAACTACACGAAAAATTAATAGCTATGTAAAGGAAATCAGATTTACCATAAAAGGATATGGACACCTTACCTGTTTGGTTCCTGTATCCTGTGCGAATATTTTTTCGACAGTGAAGAAAAATAACAATCCAGCTACTAGACATTTGAGGGAAAGAAGATTGGTATCTAAAGCAGTGACATTTTGATTTTTCAAGGAAAATACAAAGAACATACTAGTGTGACTAGACCAAATCTCGGGTAAGAGATGGATGAAAACTTCGCCAAGCAAACTTCCCGCTGCGTAGCTCAGCCAACGATTCAGGGACTTCAATCCTGGAAATTAATGTGGCAGTTCGATGAGAAAGACACTAACCTTTGGGATCTAAATGTTTTGCTGTTGTGAGGGGAATAAAAAATAGTGGGACAATTCCACTTAATCCCACAACGAACGCTGACAAGGCACAAAAGCAAATCACAGGTACATTTTGATGTACAAGAGTTTCCATCACAAGACCATAAGCACGCAAATGTGAGTCAGTGAAGAAGTTGGACTGGATATTGATTAAAATGCTTTTGTCGGTCAAATTATCACAGCCACATTTGTTTACAGTATGGAAAGGACATCAAAAAGGTAGACTGCGCTCGTTTTTGGTGCGTAGCTGAAGTTGATGTATAAGTGTGCATTCTGAAAGCAAAATGTCACGAATTAAGTGGCAGTCCGTAATCGGTAATCTTGCTAACGCGACTGGTAGCTGTTGTACCATAAAGGAGCAGCGCGGTTTGAATACATGTACCATGGAATAGGCTCGACGCTGCCAATGTGCATCACAAAAGTTGACAGCAACATCAAGGTGAGAGCGCTAGTACTCAACCAATGTACAGTCATGTGAAGTTGCTTCGACAAAGATGTGTAACAGACATAAGAAGAGGGAAAACGGCCTAATGCTGACCTACCATAAATGCTAGAGGTGACTACACCTTCACGCATTCACCATTAACTCGAACGCCACTAACATCGGCTAGCCCGACCTAAAGCTGCCACCTGTATGTGGTTGTCGGGTTGCACCTTGTCGTTCCTGACTCGACGCTTCTCGCCTCCTCACGGAGATTCAGGCACGACTGTTCACCAAGCTACAACAACTGGCGACAACCCGAACCCACGATGTCAATTTCGGCAGAGCAACTCCAATTAATTTTACAGCAACAAAAGAAGCAGTTCGAAGAAACTCAAATGAGGCTTGTTGAATCTCTGATTCGCAGTATGTCAGTGAATGCGACAAAAACGTTTGAGCCTCCGTCTTCTTCCGCAGATGCTGCTGCCAACTCGATTACTGAATTTAATTTCGATGCTGAATCTGGACGAACTTTCGAAAGTTGGTTCAAGAAATATGAAGATATGTTTCAAACCTACTTTGCTCAATTTGATGACGCATGGAAAGTTCGACTGTTGCTGCGGAAACTGGGGATAGCTGAACACGGTCGGTTCACAAATTTCATACTCCTCAAACACCCTCGTGACCTTGTTTCCGCAGATGCTGTCAAAATTCTGGCCCAAATATTCAGTGAGCAAAGTTCCTTGTTCAATATTCGTTATCAGTGTCTCAAGATTACCAAAAGGGACACTGAGGATTTCATTACCTATGCCGGTGTGGTCAACAGAGAATGCGAGCGCTTTCAGCTCAGCTCCATGACCGAGGATCAATTCAAGTGTCTCATCTTTGTGCTGGTTTTCAATCGCCACACGATGCAGATATTCGGACCCGGCTACTGAATCGAATTGAACAGGATCCAGAGTTGACGCTTCAGAAACTTACCACCGAATGCCAGCATCTTATCAATCTCAAGGCTGATGCTGCCATGATTGGACATTCCAAATTATCTCAGCCGGATATGGTATGCAAAGTAACTTCCAAAAGGAAGTCAAGTTCAAAACGAACTCCAAGAAAACCGCCCACACCCTGTTGGTTTTGTGAAGAATGGCACTATTCACGCCACTGTCCCTACCGGAACCACAGGTGCAGTAAGTGCAGTCGAAAGGGTCACAAAGAAGAATGCTGCAGAGACAACTTCAGGAGCTCGCGCAAACACCGACCCGACAAAAGGACGCAGGCAGAGGCTGTGACCGCCACATTCAGGATGAAATCACCTGGTCGACGTAAATTTGTCACATTATGTATCAATGGCACACCAGTTACTCTCCAACTGGATACAGGTTCTGACCTCACTCTGATTTCAAAACGAACCTGGAACGAAATTGGAAGGCCACCAGTGGAACCCACAAAGTGCATCGTTCGTAATGCATCTGGTGGAAGCCTCAAACTAACCGAGAAGCTGAATTGTTCCGTAGCGTTCAAGGGGATTCAACTCAATGGTACTTGCTACCTCACGAACTATACAGGGCTTGATCTCTTGGGCCTGGATTAGATTAATGAGCTTCAACTGTTGGATGAACCCCTCAATGCCGTTTGTGACGAAACAACTGCAAATGGCTCCAATACGTTCGCGAGAACATCACTTCCTGAAGATTTGGTGGTCGCCAGAGTTACAGCCAAACCGGAGACCAGATGGAGCATACGCGACACAGCGACTATTCAGCTTCTGGCGTCCGGCAGCGGTAGCCCCCTCACCTCAGTCCAATTTGGCGAACCCTGCTGCAGCCCGCAACGTTTCACTTGCGGTCTGAACCCTTCAGTTTACAGTCGCAGGTTCAGGCGGATCGTTCTACTGCTATCCGGAAAGTCAAGGAAGGGGAGCCGGAAGGACGAACGTCACAACAGTCACACAGAGACCAGCCAGTGATTCAAATATATGGAGAATGCTGTCCACGGTGGACGCAGGGTCGATTATGCCACATACGAGGCACACGTAAGATCATCAGCACAGCCGCGTCAAGTGAACCAACTTCAGGCAACAGACTGCGGTTCGGTGAGGGGACCATGTCGCATGGGAAACCGGACAGCCGTGACATACCTCCCAAGTAGAGGGTACCGGCTCCAAGATCAGCCTGCTGGCAGCCCCAGGGACGCACCAACATGCGACAGAACCACCATGAGTCGTCACAGTGGAGTCCAAAGCAGAAGTCGGTTGAACAGCCTTCTCAAGGGGGAGTCGGATTCGAACCACAGAACTTCCGGTCAGTAAATTTGCGCTCTAACCACTTGGGCCATCTCGCCCCCACCCGGGTCGAGCATCCTTGACTGGACGCTTCTCGCCCCCTCACGGTGCTTCTAGCACGACCTTGTGGAACACCCTGTGATTGCCCTATAAGTAGAGATGTAATGATTCTCCCTTTGTCTCCATAAAGGGCTGTCTAGAGCTACCATCATCACCAAGGACAGCAACTTAAGTGTTGCCACTGATGCTTCACTGCCGTACAACCATAAGGTTTGTCTAGTTATATATATATATATATATATATATGTAATTGTATTAATAGCCCTAAAGAGAAGAGAAGAGAAAAAGACTGGGTGAGGGAGGGGACCTAGTGCTGGCCTATGTCAAACATACTGAGAAGCCTACACCTCCAACCGCTCAATCAGACAATCTGGAAACTGACAGCACGAACGCCACTGACATCGATTAGCCGCCATTTCTTGCAACGTCTCCAGCCAAGCACAGACGGG